TGCTCCCTGTGTTCAGAAGGCTTTTGGTGAGTAGCTTTATTTGAGAAAAGCTGATTTGGAGTATTTTCACCAATATTTTTCTTTTATGGAGAAGCTATCTTGGAGAGGGGATGTATTAGAAATTAAACCTAGGGCTTTATCCATGCTGGGGAAGCATTCTATTGCTGAGCTATGCCCTTTTATAAAATTCTGGCATACGGTCTTGCTAATTTGCTCAGGCTATCCTGGGACTTGCCATCCCCCTGCATCAGAATTTAGAGTAACTAGGATACCAGGTATGTTTCATCATGACTGACTGGAAAAGCTAAATTTTGGAGGTCCTTAATCCTCTTTCTTCTTTGTTGCTTCACATAGATTTTCATAATGTCCTTTAATTTCTTAATCCTCTCCAACACATTTTGAGACATTGAGCCATCTTTTATCCTTCTGTCTTCCAGCTTTGTATCTATATATTTAAATTCTCCACATTATGCAGAATCAAACATAAATATTTCCTTATGATTAGATATCTGAGATAATATTCTTTTTTTACATCTCTTTATTCTTTCCAACTATTACAAATGACAATTATATAATAAAATGTCTGGTATAAGAGCACTTGAGGTAGATATTTTAATGATTAATTAATTATCTAGAAGCTAATTGAAATTCCAGTTTTGAAAGGTAGATTTCAGGCTAGAGGGACTTTAGTGAGAATGAGTAAAAATGATAAATGCAATAAAATATGAAAAATGATGGTTCATACCATATGTGATATAAATTTGGTTATCTAGACCTGTATGCACTGATCTCTAAAACTCTGAGAAAACTATCATGATAAGATTTTACAGTAATGTACTATCACTGCTTAATTTAACAGCAAGACCTCTGTCTGTCCCCTTCCATGCTTTTCAATAAATAGTTATCAGCAGAAGCTGAATTTCAGTATGTTCACCATATAAATGAACCTGATCAAACTCTTAATAGAGAAATCAGATGATGTATCCCAGATGCATGAAGAAATTTTTAAAATGCTAATAAAGTGAACTCAGAAATACACTATGAGAATTTCCAGTGAACACATAATCAAATTTAGTCAATTGGTTAATAGATATTAATTTAAGCAACTCCCCCCCCCATTTTAAAATTTCTTCATGGTTCTTTTGCAAATGTACATTTTAGAGCCCATGTCTTACAATTTGAATTCCTTTATTAAAAAAAAAAAAAACAACATAAAAGCAAATCTTTTTTTCTCTCCAATATGTGGATTTAACAGAAAACAAGGAAGAAGGGGAAAAACAGATCAGTAGATTGGACAAAGGGGAATGAAGGGAATGGAAGGGGGACAGGAAATAGGAAAAAAAAATAATGGGATGAAAACAACTTAACTTTGCTATTTTACTATGTACATATATCAGTACATCACAGTGAATCTCCACATCCCGTACAATCACAAGACTGAGATCCTAATTAGAATAAGACATACTCAAGGTTTGTATAAAATATACTCTACTGTCATGTACAACTAAAAAAAAAAAAAAAAAAGAATTAAAAAATCTTTTGAATTTTTCTTTAATCTCTACATGCGTGTTTTTTCCTGGTCATGGACTATTTCCTCAAATGGTTTATAATTTGTATGCAGACCTGTTGTTCCATGGGAGTAGTTTCACTGGAAGCTCATGTATTCTGGACTGGGGGGGAGTCCCCACAGAACTGGTGCTCAACACTGCCTTTTAATGGTCAGCAGTGACTTTGTTAAGTTCCTTTTATGTTTTGTTTTATTTTAACTTAACATAGGTTGTGGTAAAAGTCACCTGCTGAGCATGCATTCAAAACCAAATCTCATAGAAAGCAGAGGAATGATCTGATCTTATACCTTGCATTCATTTTTTTTTTTTTTCCTATTTGGTACTTATAACAGAATCTCAGGATTATAAAGGGACTTTTCATTGCACATCTCTTAACATAACAATTATTGTAACATATTTTGTATTATTTAATCAAAAGCTATGTATAAGCATAAGTATATGTGCATATTTATATATAAGCTAACTTTTAGAAATTTATGTGAAAATTGTTAAGAAAAACTTTGTAATGAAAGCCACCCAATGTGCTAATTCCAAGGCAAAAGCTCTGTTTGAAGACTAAATCTGGATCAGAAATAGGATTATACATTTTTTATCCCAATTCTTTAGGTGGTTCACATTTTATTAAGCAAGGAATATACCCCACTCTCCCAAGATACTGTTATCACATTTTTGCAGGTGAGTTTTTCCTGTCATGAATATATATGAATGTTGAACTATAAACTAATTTTATTTCCCAAAATTCTTCATTTATACAGTGGAAAGTAGTGAATAAAAAATCCATTTAACTCTTCTTTGGGCTTTTTAACATGCCAAAAATAATTCATTATGATTTTCAAAATTGTGAGATGCTAAGATTAAAGATTAAATTTCAGTATAATTAATAATATTAAAATAAAAACTTTATTAAGCCTGCTCTTACTTGAATATAAGTTTGTCCACAAAGAGTTCATTACTGGAGAACATAATTTTCAGTGTAGTGGTGCTGGAAGACAGTTTGGAGCTTTTAAGAGGTGGGGCCTAACAGGAAGTAACTAAGTCATTGGGAGTGCTGTCTTCTGAAGGAATTAATATAGTACATTTTGGACCCTGATTAATACTCATGAGAGTATCATAAAACAGCAAGCTGGCCTCTGAATCTTTCTCTGGCTTCTAATCTGACTATGTGATCTCTCCCCCTGGAACTTGATCCTGCTGTGATACTATCTGCCAGAGTATCATGTGACCAAGGACCTCACCAATGACTGAATCAATGGAGCCAAACAGTCATGGACTTTCAGCTTTCAAACTGTGAGATAACTGAAACTCTTGCTGTACACTACCCAACCTTAGGTATTTTGTCATAGTAATGAAAAATAAACTAATGCACATACGAATGCACACTTGTGCTTATTACATATAAATATTTGTTGGAATATTATATATGTATATGGGTGTTAGAATATTAAACCGCTTTGTTATTTGTTCTATATGCAATTTTCATTCAGATTCTCATTCATCTCATACAGTATCACTCTAAATCTGGATAAAAGCAGAAGTAACAGGAATTTTTACTAGATAGTGAGCTAACTATACAGTGTTGAAATAAAATGACTAGTACCTGAAGAATCTCTCAGTAGAAAAGCATTCAGCTCACTTTACTTGATTTGCAAACATAAATAAAGTGATTTGATCTGTTTCTTATAAAATTCTATATTGGAGATAAACAAAACTTAAGATAAACCAATTATAACTAGCCTAAAAGACTCAAGTAACTGGGGACTTTCCAGTAGGATAGACTCAATAAGGCAGTGCTACTTTCCTACTGCATTTCTGCTCATAAAGACTTGCTCCTGAAATTTTGTCATGTGAACACTAAATCTCTTTCAATTTAATATTACCCAATTCATGAATTGCTTTTTAGTCAAACAAACCCTTTAAAAATTGTATTGTGCCTTAGTAAAATGTGTTAACATGTGGTTGTCATTGTATATACAAAAGTGGCTGTGGGTTTACCAGAGCTATAAAACACTCATAGTAAAATAAATCAAACCTATTATTAATATTTCACATGTCAAGGTTAAAAAGAGCAACTGAGGGTGATAATATAGATCTTAAAGTCATTCTTAAATCAAAGAAACATCCGTCATTTCTATATTTGGCAAGAATTCACAAAAACCATAGATCTTCCTTTTAAAATATCTGACTATAAAACTGTTGCATCATCTGATGCACATTACAATCTTTTCCCATAGCTGATGCTTCTTTTTATTTGAATAACTTCTCATTAATGGTATTGGCCCACTATCAGAGCTGTATGAAATCATTAAATTGCTGTTCTCAAGATGTCACTGTGTACTACCTGCGTCAGTCACCTGGAACGTGACTATAGCTACAGAGAGGGGTTTCTGGGTATCTTCAGAGTTGATGAGTCAGAGGCTCTGGCTTGAGCTCTGGTTCCTGCACTGTAAATAAGCGCCCAGAATACAATCACTTTTTCATGGGAAAAGTGGTGAGATATATATCCCTTCAACATTGGCACCTGTACAAAATATTAATTAAGCGGGTCTCCAAGAAAGGAAGGATGGAATTCCCCAGATAAAAAGATCTCATAGATCTTTTACAGTTACACAAGGTTTCAGAGCTAGCCTAAGCTCCCAATAGCAATAAGAGCATGATTTCTACAAGACATAAATTCTGTATACCAAAGAACAAATTTAGAAATTAGAAAACACTAATGAGAATAATAGCATATATTGATCACTTAAATGTGTTTATCATTTAATCCTTAAAATAAACTTGAAAGATAATTATCCATGCAAATGTCACAGAGAAGTGAACTGAAATTTAGATATGAACTTCACTTTTTACAAGTTGAAGAAAATTTTTACATTGAAATTGATTGGTGAGTTGCAAATAGATTTTAATTAATCTTATCATGTAAACATAGCTGTCTTAGAAATTTCTACTTTGATCAATGTTTTCAAATCAAAATTGATGTCCAGAATAGTAAGTTTATAAAGCTTTGATCAATCAGACATTATTTTTAAACTGAATTAATTTGGATTCATTTGAAATACTGTCAACAATTTGTGAGAATCCTTTGAACTTTGAGATCAAATTTAAATATGTTTTCCAAAAATAAATGTGTACTAAAACTATCTTTTGGAAACAGTCCTCCAAGTTCTTCAACAATGTATATAGATAAATTTGATTATTTTGTCAAAACATAATTTTGCCTTAGTTTATGCAGATAACAAGTTCTAAAACACATTTTTTAATGTGAAGAAACACACACATCATCAAATAAGTGTTCAAATTTACATTTTCTCTGAAAGTAGAAATTATATTACTAATTATTTTGTGTAAAAATCAGATGGCATTAAGGTTATCTTGTATGAATGATATAATTAAAGATATACATGATTTACTTTTTGAAATATTACTTCCTCTTACCTGCTGGTTTACAGGAAAATTTCTGTTGATTTTTTTAATCTGAAATGATAAATAACAAATAAATAAATGAGTATAGCAAGGATAATGTAAGATCCCCCAAATTTTATGAGGATTGATATTTAGTATATTAATTATACTAATATTCTATCTAGATGCAATTAAATATGCAATTAAATCATTGCATATGAAACACCAATTTTAATTGACTATGATAATTACTCCAAATTTCATCATGTTGAAAAATATTTAACAGTTTTTTTTTTTATTTATGAAAAATCAAAGCCTGTTTCCAAACTATGTTCAGTGATTGTTTATCAAGGATGTAGAGAGAAATTTTCTGTATTTTGTAATTTAAAATCATATGCTATTCAATTTATTTTAATAGACAAGGGAAGAGACAAAATGGAAATTCAACTCTAGACAAAAAAAGTATATTTTGAAATACTTCCAGCCAGGATCTCAACTACTGCACAACATTTACTTTAAGACAATTTAATGAACAACATTTTATAAGAAGTTAAAATAAGTCTTCAGAGGAAGCATTTCTTCTTGTGCTATATCGTGGAAATAAACTGAAAACAAAATAAAAATGAATATCACTTTTAGTTAAATGACATAGATGACACAAAGTCTTTGTTCAAACATGCATTTGCTAATAGAAAATCAATTGTCGCTTTCCATTTGATTTATATAGAAACAATGCTAAATCTATAGGGTCTAATCAAAATAAGTACAGACTATTTTTATCTACTTTTGTTGTTGTTGTTGTTGACTTACTTGCCACCCCAATCCCTTCCTTTTTCGTTGTTTCCTTTTGTCTTCCTAAGGCAATTCAGTAGAGATGGAAGACACAATTGGGTAACCATCAAACGTCTGATCTGTTATTCCAGACCGACTGGCAATATATTTATTATTTAAAATGTTTTAAAAAAGAAAAATTGAAAACGCCCCAGTTTCATGTAGGATTATATACAGAACCCTATCCTTGCTACATGGTACTAATCATTTCAAAGTCCCCACCCCTCCCCCAGCCCATGGTGACCTTGCTAAAAATCTCTAAAACTCCTAGCACACCTTGAGCTAAAATCAGAAATTTGGAAATATAAATAGAAAGAACTGATTCTTAAAAGAGATAATAGTGAATGCTAGTGGAACCATACTTTTTGCTAGTTCTTATAGCTTGTTATAAAGACTTATACAGTTCAATTAATATTTTATGTGAACACTTAAGTGTACTATCCTGCTTTTAAATTTTATTTTTTTTTAATCCCCAAACCAAAATTGGTTTGAATAATCATTTTTTTAATCAATCGGAGTGGTGCACACCTCTAATTCCAGCAACTCCAGGGGCTGAGACAAGAGGATCACAAGGTCAAAGCCAGCCTCAGCAACTTATCTGGGCCCTAAGCAATTTAGCAAGACCCTGTCTCAAAAAATAAAAATAAAAAAAAAAAGTACTGGGAATGTGATTCAGTGGTTAAGTGCCCCTGAGTTCAATCCCTGGAATGATGAAAATAAATAATAATCACTTGGGAAATTTGAAAATTGGTAATATAGACAGGCATTGCCAGGCAGATGGCATGGGTAAGTGAAGTGGTTGACCACAGGAATTTTATACTACTTAGGCCACCCTCAGCAGAGTTCCTGCAATTGAAATGTATTACCCAGCAGTGGCCACTGTCTCTTCCCCGCAGAGTATGTCCTAAACCATCAGCCTTATTTACCTGTCTAGAGCTGTTACAGTATGTTTGTTATCGTTGCTTTTGTTTTTGTTATTTTTCTCTAGTAGTGAACTCATAGATAGGAACCTTGCAATCTTTATCCTTAAAGAGTTTACAGCACTGGTATTGTATACCATTATTATTACTAAAATATATGTATATATATATATTTTCTACCAGTTCTTGCATATTATCCAAGGGTATAGGAGTCATTGAAATGGACAAAATATAAAATACACAGAAAGTTAAATAAAGAACATATTAACACCTAGAGAGGTGGAATGAATAAGAAGTGAAATATACCAACAACTCAGAATATTCTAAAAATAACAATGAAGAGTGCATAAAATATGTTTGAATAATTATTATATTGTCATAAGAAATTATTTCTAGACTTTTCTAATATATTAAAGTGTAATAATGAGATAATAAAATGTAATAAAGCATTAATGATAGTGAATTATTAAAGAGCTAACATGATTAAAATTGAAAATACTAATAAGTTGTATTCCTCTTATTCAAACAATACCATCATAACCTTTCAGCTGCACCTTTCATTTTACTCTTTTATTTGTTTATCTTAAGGCAAGGTCTTTTTGTGTTGCCTATGGTGCCTATTCTGGCCTCAAAGTCATGCTACTCCAGCCTCTGTCTCTTGAGTAGCTGGGATTACAGGCCTGCACCACTGCACCCACCCGCAGACAGCCTCTTTATAACTGCTTAATGCCATATTTTTGAACAATTTATAGCATCCCAGGATGCCGAGTAATTACAAATATTCAGATATAATAAGTCAATACTTTAAAACTGTTACCTGTGTATTAATAAAAATATGTGGAACAGAATGATTTTGTTTTAAAAGTTTTCTTTATAGTTTTAACTACATATTGGAGTAAAATAATTTATTCATATTTATTCATGCATTAATGAAGATACAAATTTAAATAACCAAATTCTCAGAGAAATGGAAGATGGTAATGCCACTATGGTTCATAATACCATGGCATAGGACAGTTTATCCTGGGGCCCTCATTTTGGCAGCAAGAAAAATGAATACATTCTATTCTAATTATTCTTGTAAAGTGGTAGATACAAAATAACTTTCTGTCTCCAAATTAAATCCATATACACCCAAATAAATTTTAAAAATAATTCCATTTTTTCCTAAAGCAAGTGGAGTAAAACTGTATAAAGTATTCTATTTTCTAATTATTAGACTACCATTTTCAAATAAAAGTACAGTTAAATATAGGAAAAGATTGAAAACCCATTGTAAACCCAAAATGCATTTGATAACCTAACCTATTACAGCTCAGCCACACAGTACACTGCAGATTATCACATCCATATCATTAGCTCAGAAAAAGATCAAAAATCAAAATTGGAAGATATTTTCTACTAAATGCATATTACTATATGCCTTCAAAAAGTTGAAAATCCTAAATAAAGTAATTGCAAGTGGTGAAATATCCTAATGTTCATCAATTAGATAGTATATCTTTTTTACATTCATAATTCTGAATTATAGATGAATAGAAAATACTAGAAATAATTTTTTGAAAAGCACCTGTTTTTATAATCATAAAATATCAAGAAGATAGCTTAACCTTAAAAAAATAATAATGTTGAAAATATTTGACTTCAGTTTCAATTTATTTTTAAAATACCATTATTCATATTATTGATATAGTGTTAAGATAATTACATAGTAAAATATATACATACTATATCATTAAAATAAAATTTATTTATAAAATAAAGTTTTAAAAATTGCTGTTTTGGGAAACAACTTATTGTAAATTATGGAAATCCTAAATCATCTGTTTCATTTTAAGGTTTCTCTTCAAATAAGAAAAATTAAAGTTTTCCCAACAATTTTTTTTAACTTCTTGGAAACTCATGATAATTATGTGGCATCTAGAACCAAAAATTATATTACAAATTGCTAAAAAATTAACATAATCTAAAATAAAATAAAGGTAGTGTCTGAAAAAACATTTGTAGAAAAGAAAGGACAAAATTGCAATCCATACTGTAAAACCAACTGCTTATAGAGCATACTATTTAAGCCATTAATTTTCTCAGACTTTCAAAGTAGCAAAATGGTGTACACTGAGATTACCAATGATTTTGTAGAATGATTTTGTCATTCTACAAAAAAAGCACTCAATATAAAATACTACTCAGTAGAATAGATTTAGATGAATGGAAGCCATGTTAATTGAGGCTGTTAGTCCAAAACAGAAGATAAGCCCATAAATTACAAATTCATCTCTACTTGATTTATTGGAAGACCATCATCACTTACTACCAGTTTATATATATATATATATATTTTGTGTGTATGTCCCAGATAGTAGACAAAGTCTCTGTCTATGAAAATTCCATATCTGTGACTCCAGTGTCCATGTCTGCCTAATGAAACCCGTGTTTCCCAAACACATGTTCCACACTTCACACTGGATGAGAAAGTTTCCAGTTCCAAGCACACTAGGTTATCTAGCAAGGTCAGAGGTGACTCACAGGTGGACTAGCGTCCACTGAGGCCAATGTCTGTCTAGCACAACACAGTAGAGGACCACTCTAAGCGGGGAATCACAACACTTTAGACTTCAGAACCAAGGTAGGTTCTGGATCACAAAAAAAAGTAAGTTTTTCTTTAATATGCATACTGATGCATTAACTTTCTAGTACTAAAGCAAACCTTAGCAATTATGTTTCCTATCAAACTATGTTTACACTAAATCCTAGAGGACCACCATTGTTCAGCTGTGTGCCGGGGCATTTCTGGGACAGCAATATTTTTTTTGTTTCCTTCTCCCAACAGTCACCTTGAGTAAGAGGGTCATATCTCAGAACTGTTTTATTCTGAGGCATAACATTTAAATGGTTTCTGATAAAAACAATAATTTTATTCTGGAGACTATGTCTATTTCTTCTATCTTTAGTTTATTTATAGCTATAGCAATTACTTTGACATTTTCATGGCTCTTTTTAGGTGAACTCATTGAAGATAGAGCTTATCTTGTTCCTCAGAATTTCTTATTTCCTTGGTGACCATGATTCCTTCTTAAACATAATTACATGAAGCAAGCATGTACATTTTGAACAATTTATATATTGTGTACTACTTTGGGAAATTTTTCTCATATATGAATCACTCCCTTAAAAGAAAACCATTCCTTCTTTTTCTTACATAGATCAGATTTTAATTATATGTTGTCAAAACATATTGGCTACTCTGAATAGTCCTGATTTAAGCTAAAACTGGTAAAAACAATTATTGCCCATGTAGAGATATAAGGAAACACAATATAT